TGGTGCTGGCACGGATGTGGCAAGAAAGGGACACTCCTTCACTGTTGGTGGGAATGCCGACTGGTTCGGCCTTTTTGGAAAACAGTATGGACGATTCTCAAAAAATTAGAAATTGAGCTCCCATTTGATCCAGCAATACCACTCCTGGGAATACATCCCAGAGAGGCAAAAAAAGTATAGTTGAAGTGACATCTGCAATTGTCTGTTTATTGCAGCACTCTTTACAATAGCCAGAATCTGGAAAAAACCTGAGTGCCCGAGAACAGATGACTGGTTAAAGAAACTTTGGTACATCTGCAATTGTCTGTTTATTGCAGCACTCTTTACAATAGCCAGAATCTGGAAAAAACCTGAGTGCCCAAGAACAGATGATTGATTAAAGAAACTTTGGTACATTTACACAATGGAGTACTATGTAGCTCTTAGAAAAGACGAAGTCGTGAAATTTACATACAAGTGGTACAATATGGAAAGTATCATGTTAAGCGAAATGACTCAGAAAGAAAGGGATAGACATAGAAAGATTGCATTCATCTGGGGAACATAAAGTAACAAAATAGGAGACTAACACCCAAGAATGGCTGAGATTAGTACCAGGAATTCTACTCCATGGCTTGGAGACCAATCACACATGCTAGGGGAAAAGGGAGCTCAGATAGAGAAGGGAGCACCAAATAAAGGTGTTGGGAGGATCCTCCCAGGATGGGAGAAACATGCTGAAAGTAGACTATAGACCAAACATGATTGTCACCCATTGCCTCTTTTGCAAACCACAACACCCAATAAGAGAGAGAGAACAGAGAACAAAAGGGAATTCCCTGCCACAGAGGCAGGGTGGGATGGGGAGAATGGGGGGTGGGAGGGATACTGGGATCCGTGGTGGTGGGAAATGGACACTGGTGGAGAGATGGGTATTTGATCATTGTATAATTGAAATCCAAGCACAAAAATTTGTAAGTCTACAACTGTACCTCATGATGTCTCACTAATAAAAAAAATTTTAAAAAATTTAGTGGGCTTGAAAAATAAAAAGAAAGAAAAAAAGTTAGTAGGTTTGGGGCGAGAGCGATAATACAGTGGGTAGGGTGTTTGCCTTGCATGTGGCTGGCCAATGTTTAATCTTAATCATCCCATATGGTCCTCTGGGCATCATCAGGAGTAATTCCTGAGCACAGAGACAGGAGAACCCTCTGAGCATCGCCAGGTGTGACTCAAAAGCCCAGAAAAAAAGGGCTTCCACAAAAAGAGTTATGTACTTTTGACCTTTTAAGCATGTTTTAAAAGATTCCATTCGGGTTGAAAGATGCCTGCTGAAAGTAGACTATAGATTGAACACAATGGTCGCCCAATATCTCTATTGAAAACCACAACACCCAGAAGGAGAGAGAATAAAAGGGAATGCCCTGCCACTGAGGCCGGGTGGGGTGGTGGGAAGGATGCTGGGAACATTGGTCGTGAGAATGGGCACTGGTGGAGGGATGGGTAAACATTGCATGACTGTAATGCACACACAAAAGTTCATAAGTTTGTAACTGTACCCAATGGTGATTCACTAATAAAAAAAGTGAATCTAATTTAAAGAGACTATCAAGCAAAAATAAAGAAGCAAGAAAAGGGATGCACAGTCGTTTCAGGCAGGAATAATATTATCGTGAAGTGATCCGAAATAAACAAGTGCATGAGTGTACAAGTAATTAATCTGAAATAAAATATCACATTTATGTACTATAAAAAAAAGATCCCTTGAAAACAGGGGTAACAAGTGTTCTTTCCTTTTGTTTGGTTTCAGTATTGGGTCAGACCTGGCATTCAGTCTAGGTGGCTTATGGTGGTGGTCAGGGGAACATGCAGAGCTGGGGATGGAACCCAAGCCGCCAGCAGAAAAGGATGTGCTAAGCCCACTGAACTCTCTTTGGACCCGTATTCTCTCTTTCACAGACTCTGACACATATAAAGATTTAATAAGCATAAAAATGTGCTCTTGGGTAAGCTTTGTTTGAAAGTCCTCATATCACGTGTTTAAGGTGAATGCCTAGATATGCGGGAACACGTGACTGAGATCTCCACGCCCACTTGGATTGGGACTGGGCCTCCTCCCGCCAGGTCCCCAGTTTTTCAGTAGCTTGGCAGTCACATCCACAAACTGCCCCCAGCGCCATGTAATCTCATCAACAACCAAGACCCAGAGACTATAAACTAAAGCTCCCAGAATAGAGCACAGCAGAATTTCCTGGACATTATATTTATTCTATCTATAGCAAGCAATACAAAAGAAATCATCCAGCATTGCCTTTTGGGCAGATTTGAGTGGTGGTGAGACTGGTGTTGAAATATCGAATGTAACCAAAGTAGAGAGAGAGTATGGACAGGGGAAGGGTTGGAATGAGGGAGGGGGGAATACTGGGGATTTTGGTGGTGGAAAATTTGCACTGGTGAAGGGAAGGGTGTTTGATGATTGTACGACCGAAGCTCAAACATGAAAGCTTTGTAACTGTATCTCACAGTGAGTCAATAAAAAGAGGGGGGCGTAATAATAAAATAATAAAATAAAATTAACATTCTGAATAAAAAAGTAATTTGGAGTTCATGCCCAATTAAGTCAGCATTACCAATGCCTGAATAAATAGCAGTACTCTTACATTATAAAAAGTAAAAAATAAAGTGAATGCCTAAATTGTTAAGAGTTTTCCTCTGCAATGGAAAGATGGGTTTCTCTACCATCTTAATTTCCCTGCACAGGAGAATAAGTGGGAGTGTAACTACAGCTTTGTGACAATATGAACCTTGAGTGCATGGTAACTTTAAACTCAAATCAGTTAAAAAAAATCAATGTATGATATTTTTAGGGAGGTTTCTAAATTTTAGCAGACAGATTTAATAGTATCTGAAATTGATTTTTAACTCCTATGAAAAAACAGTTCTTCTAGTTTAGTCACAAAGGTATAAACTGGGAAAAAAGAAAAGTTACCAGAGACTACTCTCTGAATAAAACTAAATGAAAAATACACACAGAAGAAGTTAAAAATAGCAGGGCCTAACAAGTATTTAAACCTTGGTATGATATGTATGAAAAATAGAATTTGAAATGATGCTTCTCTAAGGGATATAAAATTAACCTGTGCTTTTAGAATAGTGTCAAGTAAGTTTCATATAAAAGCTTTATTAAATTTTAAGGATCTATCTTTGGAAGTTAACAAAGAAAATACAATTAAATACTTAAAATAGTATAAGTTAAAATAGATTGCTGTACCAAATAGACACTGTACCAACAAGGACATGAAAAAAAAAGTTCATTTTTCATCTATCATCAGGCATATGCAAATTAAAATAATAAAAGTATCACCTCACACTTGTAGAAATATAAATAGCTAAAGCAAACAAACTGGCTAAGAAAATTATAACAAAACTAATCTCTAGAGTCAATGAGAACTATCATGGTTTACTAAAGAAAAATGGAAAGAGTTGGGGCAATTTTAGTGATGAGAGGCTATGGGAACTTTGGTGGCAAGTTGTAATGAATCCTTTATACTAGAGAGAATAGATTATAGCCCTCAAATTCTAGCTGATGAGAAGTCAGTTTAGAAAGACTTTCAAAGAGAAAGGGGACCTGCAACAAGTGCGAGCTGAGACGTGGAGGAAAAGGAACCCTTGTTTACCCCTGCTGGGAATGTAGTTGTTCCAGCCTATTGAAAATAGTATGGCGATTTCTCATGAAAAAATAAAAACAGGATTACGTATGGAATCCAAAAATTCCATTTCTAGGTACCCAGTCAAACACAAGAAAAGAGATCTAGGCACACCTAGATTCACTGCAGCACTATTTACAGTAGCCAAGGTTTGGCAAGTGTCTGATGACAATGAGTGAAGGAAGACGTGCTATCTATATACACACTGGACACTACTCAGCTGGGCGAAAAGACAAAACCGGGCTTTTGCTACAGCAAGGACTGGGTTGGAGGGATGTGCTAAGCTAATTAAGTCAGAAGTGAAAACTTAAGTACAAATCACCTCACTCATGTGTCATGAATAAAAAAATAAAGTAAAGGAAGTGACAATGTCTAATGGAACAAACTCTTAGACTGACCACAGAACTGAGGTGACAAAGGGGAGAGAAGTGGAATGAAAGGTTCTAACAGACTGTAGAGGATGGATACGTGCAATTTGACAGTCAGTGAGCAGAGTGACACTGGACCCCTAAAATATACTATCATTTACACTGTTAAAAACCAACATTACTACAATAAAAATAAAAATTAAAAAAAAAAGTTTTGTGGAGCTGGAGTGATAGCACAGTGGGTAGGGCATTTACCTTGCACGCGGCCAACCCTGGTTCGATTCCCAGTATCCCATATGGTCCCCCAAACACCACCAGGTGTTAACTCCTGACTGTATGAGCCAGGAGTAACCCCTGTGCATTGCTGGGTGTGACCCCCCCCAAAAAAACCCATGTTTTGTTTACTAGGTTGCTTTGGGGCTGGGAGATAGTAGAGTGGTCAGGGTATATGTCTAGAGTGCCCTGACCCAGGTTGATTCGTGGCACTATATGGTTTCCCACACACCACGGGGTGTGGCTCTGAAGGCCCAGCACTCTGGGGTGGTCCGGGTATTCTCTGTACCACAGGGCCCAGCAGTGCTACGAACTTGGACCCTTGCGCTGAACCCAAGCTCTGGGTGGTGGAGCACTGCAGATGGGGGCCCTGAATTTCCTGAGCACCATTTGGGAGACCTCTCCCAATATACATATATTGCTTTAATGTACTTTTATGTGTATAAAAATAAGTTTGATGGACAGAAAAGTAAATGAATAGATGATAAAATCAGTAAATGTGAACCAGAGTCTAGGTAGTGAATACGTAGGAACATCCTGACCTACAATAGTTTTTCTCATAACATTGTTGGGGGAAATGAAGCAGTTAGAAGAAAAGCATTTATTCCATTTGTTTACTGTACCGTGCAAATGAAGCAGTTGCAGAACATGCCTCCCTGCCCAGGGCACTTACCAAGCCATCCAGAGCCAGAATTGGGTATGCACAGGTCTGTCTCAGCGCTGGGCAACACGAAGCCCACGACAAACACCTCTACGCCATCTGCCATGAGCGCCATGCCCAGGACGAAGAAAAGGGCCCACTGGAAGCGACCGTGGCCACACTCCTGGATGATGAGCTCATACTGCTGGGCGAGCTCCTCCTCATCAGCTCTCCTCTCCGACTCCAGGTCCCGGCGGTCCTTGAACTTCTCATTCTTGGGCTGCTCCACCATCACAGTGCCATCTTTGCCCTGGTTCATACTGGGGATACCCTGGTACTCGCCCTCATAGATCTCATCATCCTCATCGTGACCCTCGGTGGCTTCGCTGGAGCCTTCTTCGTCGTGAGCCTCCCCGTCGTAGGTTTCTCCAGGAGGGTAATAGTCATCATCATCTTCTTCGTCTTGGAACCGGCTATAGGACCTCTGAGTATATTCATCCTGGGCCCGGTCCACGGCTTTGTTCACCTTCTTGACTGTTTGTTTCTTCACCTCTCGGGCAATGTCCTTGGCACCCTTCATCAGGGAAGTCCTGTCCTTGTAAGAGTCTTCCATCTTCCCTCTGCAGATGACTGACAAGAAGACAGCTTATTCAGTGGGTCAGCTCTCACAGCATCATCTGCGTTGGCTTCAAAACAGAACTAGAAGAGAAGAAAGACCACCAGAGAATTATTGTTTTGGTCCATGTTTTCACCATCTATCTCTTGGTCTTTTCCCGTTGCCCTCGCATACCAAGACACTAAGTTAGCTTCTCCATTCTCCAAACTCAATGCACACCCACGGCTGCCAGATCTCTGAGCATGTGATCGACTGGAGAGAATTTAGGATTGTTACTGTTATTTCTCTTGTTTTTACTTACTGTTATTCTTATTCTGAAACTTTCTGTAGACTGTAAGAGAATAAAATGGAGTTTTCTAACACAACTTATTTATTTATTGGAGGCCACACCCAGCGCTGTTCAGGGCTTCCTCCTGACTGGATGCTAAAGAATCAATCCCAGGGCTGGGGGAGCATATGGCGTACCAGTGATTGAACCTGGATCAGCTGTATGCAAGGCAAGCAAGGGCCTTACTTGCTCTACTATCTTTCCGGCCTCATCTAATGTCTTTAAAAGTACCCGTTTTAAGTGGCACAGGAAGCAAGACACTTGCTTGTAAGCACTGAACCCAGTTCTGTTCCTGGCAACACATGATTGCCCGAGCACCACCAATAGTGAGCCTTGAGCACAGAGCCAGAAATAGCCCCTGAGCATTGCCAGGCATGGCTCCAAAACTCATAAACACAAAACTGTTCTTAAATCATAGAAGTATCTGTAACATATTTCACAGTGCTATAATGAAAGACGGTGTCTTTGATTAAGGAAAATAATATTTTTCACAAATATATTCATACATGTCTAAAGCAAAACAAGAACATTAGAAGTATCTGCTCTAACATTATTTCCTCACGTTTGGTGAGGGAGAAGACAGATGAGCAGCACACTTAGATAATGCTATCAAATTCCAGATCTAACTTTCTTTATACATAACTGTATATACCCCTTTCAGTGCATTTCTTTCCCATCATTTAGTAACTGATAACAGTGATTCACATGACACCCCAACTGACAAAAGGTATTTTTGTCTAGAAAAGTAGTCCTAGCTGTATAAACTGGGTAGGGTCTATTTCAAATGATATCACAGAAGCATTTGATAATCTTTGACTTGGGAAATATGGCTGGTCCAATGGAAATTTTTCAGAAATCTCTGTAGGTTACAGGCCAGGGAACCACTGGCAGTGTTCCCTTTTTTTCCCCTTTTCTCTCTCTCTTTTTAAATTTTTGTTCTTGTTTTTCTTGTTTTATTTTTGGTTCACACCCAGCAGTGCTCAGGGCTTATTCTTGGCTCTGTGCTCATGGATCTCAGCAGTGCTCAGACAACCATATATGTTGCCGTGATCAATCCTGGGCCGACCACTTGCAAGGCAAATACCCACCCACTGTACTATCACTCCAGCCCCTGCAGTGTCCCTTCTTAACCCCTCCATGAAGTACTCTAGCCACTGTCTCTGCTCTTCCTCTCTGCACACCAAGTCTTCCATACTCTCTCTGTCTCCATCTCTGTCTGTCTCTGTCTCCCTCTCATACACACATGCACACACACACCACATCCCCACTCACCATACACATCCTACACACCATCACTTACCCCCACACACCATATACAAAACACTCACCAAACACAGACCACACATATACACTCACTCACCACATACACCCCCCCACACACACACACCATCACCCCTACACTTACCATAAACACCACACAAATATTGGTCCACATCATACATACACCACACCTGACACTCAACATACATAGCACACAGATACACATTCACCATACACACCATATATACACACACACATATACACATTCTCCACACACATTCACACACTCCCACCTTGCCCCTTCCCCACCTAGGGATCTAAGAGTCTACAGCCTCCACTGGCCTGTCTCTGATTTTCTTTTACTTTGAGAGAGCCTGTTCTGACTCATGACATCAGGTTGACAACGGGATGACTCATCTTTCACACATCCACTGAACTGCTTCATTTGGTGGCTCAAGTGAGCCAATGCCAGGCTGCTCTTGTACCAGGTGACAGAAGGTCTTTCTTTTTTTTGGGGGGGGGGTACACCCAGCAATGCTCAGGGGCTACTCCTGGCTCTTCACTCAGGAATTACTCCTGATGGTGCTTGGGGGACATATGGGATGTTGGAGATCGAACCCAGGTCGGTCGTGTACAAGGCAAATGCCCTACCTGCTGGGCTATCGTTCCAGCCCCAGAAGGTCTTTCTATCCAGCACCAGCTTGCCTAGTCCAGCGGGCAGCACTCTAGACATGGATTTACATAGCGCTCTTTTGTTTTTTCCTTTCATATCCAAGGCACGTGGTACGTGGTTATTCCAAGCAAAGGAAGCTCAGTCCAACAACTCCACCAAACCCAATGAAGTGACTCACAAATAAACTCATAAATGGGAGCATAAATGGACCCAGTGCCATCAACACTGACCCTCTCACGATCGTCGCATACCCTGTGCTCTGGGAGATGGCAAGACACAATGAAACACACGACTATAAGGTCACCTGCCAACTGTCTTAAGACAGTATCTTGACTTCCGTACTTTTGGAGCTGACAGGCAGGAGAAGGGAAGCAGGGGCAGAGGTCATGCTGGAGCCCAGCTCTGAGTTGTCTTCCCACTAGGCCCTGGTCGTGCCTCTCACACTGTTCCCTGTGCTCTTTGCAAATGCAGCAGCCTCTTCCCCTCAGCCTGATGGCTTCCCCTCAGCTTGGTGGCTTCTTTTCTCCTATGCTTGGAAATTTAAAAAATCTTTCAAGTTTTCATGCCATTCCACCCACCCCCCAGCAATTTATGGTTTGTTTGTTTGTTTGTTTAAATCTGAGATCCCCTTGGAATATCCTGAGGGCAGCTGAAGGGGCATGGTGCTGACTGAGAAACTCTGATCTAAAGCACTTGCTTCTTTCTAGTGTACTGAAAGGAGGAGCATACTATATATACCCTCTCCCCCTCTAAATCCAGGTCCAATGGCAACAGAGGACAAGAGGGATCTACTACCCTACCAGCTGATGCCCACGTGTCATCCCTCATGCCCTGCCTTATCCTTGGGGCACGCTGGGCCACACAGCAGTCCTTTGGATGGAGGGGAGCATATGGGGGGGGGGGGGGTGGAAGACATTCCAGAGAGCTGTCCATACAGAAATGGTCCAGCAAGTCAGGGTGTCTTATTTGCCACAGAATTTGATCCTTTTCCCCTTCAGGACAAGTGAAGGTATGTGTACTGGCTGGGGAGGAAAAATCTCTAAAGTGTTTTTCTCCTGTTTGTCTCTTGTGGGAAGCAGAAGTGGAAATGCCTGCAGCAGAGTAAATACTCTCCAGGTGAGGGATAACACCTGACTTCCCAATGTAAACTTGGTCAAAATGTAGCCAAGTATACCAATATCCGCCCCTCTCGGAGAGCCCGGCAAGCTACCGAGAGTATTCGATATGCCAGACACAGTAACAATAAAGTCTCTAATGGAGACGTTACTGGGCCCGCTCGAGCATATCGACGATCAACGGGAGGGCCTTACCTTACCAAATATCCCAAAGACAAGCATATCAGGTTCCAAGCTCTTTGTTTTGGGGCTACATTTAGTAGTGCTCAGGGTTACTCCTGGGCTCTGTGCTCAGGAGAGACCCCTTAAAGTATATATCTGTGGTAGAAAGGATAAAACCAGAGTCAGCCTCATGCAAAGGAAGCATCTTAACCTTTGGACTATCTTGCTAGCCCAATCCTACTCATTTTGAATGAATGAAAAGTAATGCCACAAAAATGAGAGTTCATTAAAATAAAACAAAAGGGAAGTGAGTAGCAAAAAATTGCAGTAATTTCAGACTATTTTGAGGGGCACCACCCTACTTTACCCTATATCTTTAAATCACTTGATCACTTGACTTCCCGTTAATTATCGATTTGCTCGAGCTGGCGCCAGTAACGTCTTCATTTGTCCCTGTCACGTGCTAGTGTAGCCCAATGGCGTCTGTTCATTCTAGGAACACGAAGAGCCTCAAACCGATCGTTCAGGGTCTTAACGAAGAAGTCTGACCAACTTGTAGGTGGGCGGTCACGCAGTCTTTTGATGTCCCGTGGAATCCAGTTGGTAACGGCTCTAGTCCAGCAGTCGTCTCCAAATCTCATTACATGTCCAGCCCATCTGATTTTCGACACCTTGGCAAACAAAACAGCATCCCTGATTCTTGACCATCGATGGAGGTCGGAACTCCAGATTCTTTCTCTCATTTGAAACGTGATACTCCAAGCATAGCTCTTTCGATTCCTCTTTGGGAGACCTGAATATCTTTCTCATCCTGTTTTCATAGGGCCCAGGTCCCTGAGGCATATGTTAATGCAGGAAGAACAGTGGAATCAAAGAGATGTACCCATAGCCTGAGATTCTTTGTCCTCTTAGCTATTTCCTTGATGCTCTTGAAGGCGTTCCAAGCCACTCTCTTCCTCCGGCGCAACTCAGGTGCCAGATCACTCGTCTTGTTGACTTCTCGACCTAGGTACACATAACTGTTGCAGTCGGAGATGGTTGTTCCATTGAGAGCAAATGGAGCGTCAGGAACGAGGCTGTTTCTCATAAACATTGTCTTCGTGAGATTCAGCTGTAGTCTGACCTTTCCACACTCACGGTCGAAGTCGGCCAGCATTTGTGCAGCTTGGCTAATGTTTGATGTTATCAGAATGATGTCATCAGCGAAGTGGAGGTGTAGTTGCAGACTGTCTATCTTCACTCTCATTCCTTCCCATTCTAGTCGCTGCATGACATTCTTGAGGGTGGCACTAAAGAGTTTCAGTAAAATGGTATCACCCTGCTGAACCCCTCTCTTGATGTTGATGATCACTTCCTTGTAGAATGGTGAGATCCTGGTAGTGAATCCGTAATACAGCTCACAGAGGATCTTGATGTATTGGGCTTGAATGCCCTGACTGGCTAGGGCTTCAATGACGGCTTCTGTATCAACAGAATCAAAGGTCT